GGGACAAAAAGCCGTACGATTGCGTAGTTACGATTACTGAAGTACTCGTACTTGAGATGGTGTGGGAATTTTTCTTTAGGCCCCTCACGCACGATGTGTTGGCGTTTGGGATGTGCCGTGCTCTGCTGTCTCTCCTTGCGTTTGAGTTCATTCGATTTCAATCTTCACAAGAGTTACTGTAACGTCAATCGGAACTATTTGTCATCGGCAGAAAGGACCCGAACCAAACGAAAACAGTCCTGCTTTTCCAACGATCTCCAATCCATCTCATTCCACAACGACTTCTCATAAATTCAATTCAGTTCAGTTCACAACACAGTGTCTTTTTCTCAAAAAGATTCACAATCAACTCAGTTTACAGCACAACATCTTTTTTATTGACAATGGCACCATTCATTTCGTCGATTCGTTACAATTCGATTTCATTTCTAGCGTCGTTAGCGGTGCTAGCCATCTCTTCGGCGGAAGAATCCGTAGAGTTTTCCGTAGTAACGCCGGATGCACATGCCTCGCTGCGCCGAAGGCTCGGTGGAAACGAGAACAACACTGCGGTAGGTTTGATCTATCCTAGCATTACGTTTGTTCCCTCTACTGCTCGTGATCTGTTGTGACTTTCTCTTACTCTGACACCTCCCTGCTTCCCAACTCCCCTGTCGCTCGGATTGGATTCGATCATTGACATACAATGCATACCATCAACTTTGTCCGCTACAGCAACCGAGACGGCAACCTCGGATCATTGGTGGATCCAACGTAAACGATCCTTCAGAGTATCCGTATTATGCTCTTATGAACGGTAGGGCACTTTGTGGGGCTGTTTTGATTGCTCCCACTTTCGTCCTGACGGCCGCACATTGCGTCGGCGCCGACGACGACTTCGAAATCGGTGCCATTATTGATGACTCAAATTCCATCGGTAGCTGGTGGAACAGCCTCATTGGTGGCAGCAGTGCCTCCGGAACAGGCACCGAATACGCCATCAAAAGCAGGATTGTCCATCCCGATTACGACGATTTGAATATGTTCAACGACATTGCCCTCTACGAACTCCAGCAAGCTGTTCCCGACACCGTGCCCTACGCCAAGCTTCGTCGGGAACCTCTCACAGAGGCGGGTACGCAACTAACGGTGATCGGATTCGGTGACACGGACGCGTCGGAATGGATCCAGGACACCTCAACCGCGCTACAAAAAACAACGGTCAACTATGTTACAGAATCGACCTGCCAGAGCCGGCTGAGGAGCCACCTCATCGGACCCGATATGCTCTGTGCCTTTGCAGAAGGCAGAGATTCCTGCGAGGGCGACTCCGGAGGGCCACTATTGCTAGAGGGACCTTGGGGAGCCTCCAGTGATGAACTGGTTGGTCTTGTTTCCTGGGGACTTGGGTGTGCCGACGACAACTATCCAGGGGTCTACACAAGGATATCCCATTTTTACGACTGGATCATCGAGAACATGTGCGAGATGAACCCATCCGGGGTTCCGGATGGGGTTGCCTGCTATTCGATGGCCACTACTCCGGAAGAGACCATTGCTCCAACTATTTTTCCTACCGACGGTTACGGTGATGACGACTTGTATTCCAATTGGTTCTACACGGATGACGGCGGCGTGTATGCACACTTAGATGATTACGTCACGGACGACAATTTCTTTGGAAACTTTTGGGATGATGTGACGGATTGGGTCTCGGGGATTTTTGGTCTATAGTGACAGAGGAACAAATGTTGGAAAAAGTGGGAAAAAGCATACGGCAGTGGAAGTCGACACGAAACCATACGAATGTAGTAGGAATGAAATGGATAAGACATCGTAGTTTATACAACATCAAAAAGGGATGTTCCATCTGTTCTCCCATACATCTGTCTCTTTCGTCAAAATGATAAAATGCAAAGCTAACTTTTTTGTGACTTTTGTTGCCACACGCCAAATTTAGAAAAAATACATTTTTTTTTGCTACGACTAGTACTACTACACTATATTCCTCTCATCACAATAAAATATTACAAGAATATATTTCAACAAATACAAAAGTATTAATTGTTCATTTATAACAACCATTCTTCCTTGACATGTAAAGCATAGTAGTAATAACAAGAATCCCTGGCAACTTCTTCTTCCTCAATCTCCTGCTCACTGATAAGTCAGGATACCTTTGCTTTGCTTTTTCTGCACAAACAAAACAAGCAATGGTTCCTCTTTGCTCCTTCATAATTTCCATTGCATATTTCTTCATGTCGTGTTTTTGTTCATCAATGCAATTATGGCAAAATATATGAGGAGTTTGAATTTTTTCCCTCTCATTGCATAGTATGGATGATTTGTATACTTTCCACCATTCCTTCATAGTAAACTCATCACACGCAAGGTTGGTCACATTTATGTAGCAGGAATCTATACTCTCTCAAGCAACCAGAAGAAAATACAAAGATACCATCTGTTTGTGCAAAGCAAGAATGTTGAATATTTCATACTATCCTTCTTGTCTGAGATGTCCCTTTTGGACTGCACCGCCATTAAATAGCTTTGCTGGAGAGCATGAACTAATCTTCTTCTTTGTTTGATCAACAGTTCCATTTGTATTCTTCAGATAACTTACTAGTCACAACTTTCATTGTAGTATAAAAGTTTTCCATGAACTGTTGGCAGCCACCATATTGTCCAAGGTTAGATTATGTTATCATCGAGTACCTTCCTCTTCTTTGTTACCTGCCTATCAGCATATATAGCTTCAGCTTCTTCTGTTACCCAATCTTCAAAGGTGTACCAGTTCTTGGACTTGTTTACTATTAGCTGAAGATTCTTTGGAAATCAACAAATTTTCCAACCCTTTCTCCTTGTCATCAGTGTGGCCATTCAATGCTTTCTTTTTGCACAGGACAAACCTGGGGTTGCATCTCCTCCAGGTGAAGTATAGTAGTACTGGGCACAGGAGGGCAGGAGGAGACCACTCCTCTGCAACATAACCCACTTCCAGCTGTGTTTGTGGGCATTCCTGTCAATTTCTCCTCCTGTTTCAACTGTTTCTGATCCTTTACTGACCAGATTATACTCTCAATTGTCAAAATTTATTGGTTCCTCATATCCTTCTTGTACCTTGAGAAAGTCAGCATAGGCTATGGCTTTACTAGCCTGGGCTTTGAAATCTTCCAAAGAATTGTGTGCATTGGAAGTTCTTTACCTGACATGAGTAGAGAGAAGCAGATCAAGTCCTGGTAAAGATAGTGCAGCTCATCTTGTTCCAGATCAGATGAATCAGAGCACTATTACTAGCAGGTGGCATCATCAGGAACACTTTCAAGAGAACAAATAGCATCACCACCACCACCACCACCACCACTGAGAACACTGCTGTCCCTCTTTGGAAGGACTCGTGCAGGGTCTGGACCAAAATGCTGGTCATCAGATAGGTTCACATTGCTACCACCAGTCATACAAACAATTGTTGTCAAAGAAGAAAGAATCATCATCATCCACAATGGTGGTTGTAATACTAGTATGGTAATTGTAATTTTAGTAAGTTGTTAAATATGATGATTGTTTGTGTGATAGTAGTAGTTTATATTTTGGTTTGGGGTTTTTGGAGTGATTTATTTGTTTGTTTGAAAATTGTGAGGGAATGAATGAATGAGTAGAAAGGTAGTACTAGTATTTATTTTTGTTTCATCCCTTAATGGGACGAGTGTACGCCTATAGGCGTACTAAAGGCCTTATTTTAGCCAATTGTAAGAATGCTAAAATTGTTCTACCAGCATACCCTCCATGTTCTTAATCTACATAAAATTTTGGTTCAGACAGGCAGGAGGAGTACTAGTACCCCCAGGGTTCCATAACTTCCTAAGAGGTCTGGAGGGGAGCTCAAAGAAGGAGACAGTGCAACTCATTATTTTAAAGGTGCACTAAAACTATTAACTGTTGTAGTAACAGCAACAATAATTTCAAACTCACCATGGTAAATCCCCCTTTCCCCCTTACAGACCTTCTTTTTGCTGGAAACAAAGTACTACATGTAACTCTCCCTCCTCTACCCCAGGGCAATGATACTGCCAAGGCTCAGATTGATTTGACTGGAAATACAGGAATAAAGGACCAGTCTTCTCATTTGGTGTTGTCATTGAAAAAAAACAGTCTCACAAACCACTAAAAGAATCAATGGTTTGTCCTCTAATCAAGCTCAACCTTTCTGATCAACAAGAAGGCAACAAATCCCTTCCCGTATTGAAGGAGGAGCAGGAGCTTCACCACAAAAAAGAACAGATCAATTCCAAGGAATATCATCAAGCTAATACTGACCAAACTAGGACTGGTCCTTTTTGACCAAAAGGTCCAAAAAACTGCTGCCGACACTCTACCACCACTTAAACCAACCACACCACCACTCCTGACCCCCCGCCCTTCTAATATCAAAGACAATCATATCTGGTGCAAAAGAAGGGATTGATTCAGTGGAAAAGAATCAAGCCAAATACGGACCAAACTGGTACCACACCATCTATTTCGAGTTTTATTTTGTGTAGGACTTCTAATACAGTCTCCACAGTTTGAGAGAGAACAAATCCTGGAAACTTGGAAAAAAACTGCGATAGGGTTGGAGTTCCGAAAAAGTTATGGGGACGAGACGCCCCTTTTTTTAGTAAGAAGACAACGTTTCGGATTTCACTTGTACCGGAGCGTACCTCAACAGACGAATTATCTAATCGAATGAGTCTACTAGTGACCCCTCTGTTGTCAATCGATCCCGCGACCTGACGTCAAAGTGGGCTGATGTCACGGAGATCTGGCGATTCAGATATGAGTGCTTTTTGATGAAAGCACATCAACATCAAGCAAGAATTCTCGAATGTTTTTTTGTTCTTTTTCCTCGAAACGAAAATACTAGAAAAATAATGATCAGAACGAGAGAATCTAGAAATCATCTATCAATCTTCGTTGTCTGCTATCGAATCATTGATTGATTATCCTTGTTGAAGGCGACAAACAGGTCACATAATTGGGCGCCATTTCCGATTGTTACCATGAGTAAGTCACCAGCACGAAGAACGAAGATGGAACGCAACGTCACTTTGTTGTGCTGAACGTCTGTTTTGGTGTTCGATTCCTATTTTCGTCTTTCTGTATTGTCTTACGCAACGATGCCAGGCGACGACAACGAGCGAGATTGCATTGTTGCGACGATTCTCGCTCTGGGAAAGGGCGAATGGAGCGACGGCGACGTGATCATGGAGGGCGAATCGGAAACCCAAACACAAAGACAAACCCAAACCCAAACAGGAGCAGAAAAATACCAAGGAAAATCACATCGCTCGCACCGAAGGGGCAGCCGCCCGGTCCTGCCCGGTGTGGTGATCCGAGACGGAATCCTGTCGTACCGTCCGTTTCGGTCCCTGAAGGTGGTCTTGGTCCGCGGAAGCGCGGCCCGATCGAAACCGGACCAAGGCGGTGGCTGCGATCCCTTCCGGAAGGGCTGCGGCTTCCCGGCGGGCCAAAACTACCACGGCGACGCTTCGAGCCTTCACAGCTGCTATGCCCTGACCTTTTCCACGAACCGGGGGCCCCTGCGGTTCGAGGTGTTCGAGATGCCCTACCTGCCCCCCCGCCGCCGGAACCACGAAAGCCCCGTGTTCCCGGGCGAAAGAGCTCCCGGCAGTCGGTTCCTCCGGGGCAACCATCCCGCGACCAAAGACGGCATCGGCAACGGCATCGGCATCGGCTGCGACTACGACTACGACTACGACGCGGTCTACCGGGACGCCGACGGGGTCGTCGTCTCGTGCTTCATTGCGCGGTTTTTCGAGTTCTGCGACCGATACGGCTACGACTACGCCTCCTCGAGCATCCTCGCGGACGTGGTGTCCAGGGCCGGAAGAACGCCGCCGCCGGGAGGAAGGACGAGCGGCAGCGGCACACGGACGCGTCCGCATCCGCATCCAAATCCATATCCAAATCCATATCCGCGTCCAAATCCACCAAAGAACACCACGGTGGTGCTCTGCGGAAACACCACCGACGTGACCTTGGCGGAGGCGAGGCTCTCGTGCGTCGTGGTGCGGGACCAAGCAAGAGCGGCGGAAGCCGACCGGGCCAACCCGACCGGGAGTTTCATCGACGGCCCGGGGCACCCCTTTGCGTCCCTGGCCCGGGCCGTCACCGGCGACGGGGGCCTCTCGTTTGGAGTCTTCGGGTCGGGTTTGGGTGGGGAACCGGCGACCCCGGAAGGCCGTTCCCGCTCCTCCTTTTGTTCCGGGGAGAACGACGACCGGATCCAGCACGAGCACGCCCTGCACTGGAACCGGCTGAGGGCGAGGGTGGACTCGTAGCCAGTCGGCCAGCCGGCCGGGTGTGGCACACCGTGGATCGGAACGGAATGCTATCCAACCCAACGCAACGCAACGCTATCCAACGCCTTCCAACGCAACGGAACCCATCGCTATCCAACGCAACGGAACGATGCACCACGCCACGCCACGCCACATCAAAAAGTGGTTTTTGGCTGCTTGCTGCTGCGTTTTGCCTGCATCTGCTGCGCTCGATTCGATTCCCCACAATTTTTGGGTGCACGAATCCATCGATCGAGGTGGAGCGGAAGGCATCCCCGTTGGTGTTGTGGCTTGGTACAGTACCCTACTCGTTAGTATAGGTGTGAAACGAATGGCAAACAAAGACGTGGTTCACTCGCAAATGTTATGTTGTACCGTAGGAATGCCATCCGACATGATAATGATAATAAGTAATACTAGTAATTGTTGCTGCTATACCATGAATTATGTATCCAAAGCTCGGTGCAGACCCAGCCGTTGGTTGCCTGCATCGCATCGCATCGCACTTCGGCAATGCTTCGATTCGGTTCGATTCGATTCGATTCGATTCGATCTGATTCGTTTTGTTATGTTTCGGCTGGCGGCTAGTACCTCGCGCTCAGCCTCCTCGGTGGCGTCCGGGACCTCAGCGAGGGCTGCGACAGGGTTTCCGCCGAGGTGCTGGAACAGCCGGGCGAGTGCGTTGCCGCTTTCCGTTCGTGGTCCCTCCACGAGAGCTCTCTGGATTTCCTCGGGGGAGTGAGGGACCCGCGCCGCTGAACAGAACACGAAGGGTGTTGTTGCTGTTGCTGTCGTTGTTGTTGCTGCTGTTGTTGATGCTGCTGTTGGTGTTGCTGCTGTCGTTGTTGTTGCTGCTGTTGCTGCTGGGGATGGGAGAAACGACGCCTCCTGGGGGGCGTGAGGGACCGACGCGAGCCGGGCCTCGGCAGCCGCTCCTCCTGTCCGTGCGAGAAGGTTTCCTCAATGGTAGAGCACACCGTCATTCTCGTCGCGCTGCTCTTGCTGCCCAGGGAGGAACGCCGCGTGGCCCTCCGGAAGCGCAGGGGCGGGGGCGACGAGAAGAGAGAGCTCTGGGACATTTGCAGGGGCTGCTGGTGCGAGCGAAAAGACGACAAGGAGGAGGTTCCTTCCGAGGTTCCTTGCGAGATTCCTTCCTTCGTTGCGACCGGGAAAAGGTTGTGGTTCTCGCGGTTCTCCAAGCTGTGGTGGCTGGTCGTGCTCTGGGTGCTGCTGTCGCAACTGCTGTCGCAACTGCTGCTGCAGCTGCTTCTGCTTTCGGTCCCGCTGTGGTTGTAGCCGTAGTTGTAGCTGTGGCCCGTCCTGGAATCCGTCCTGGACACGGACAAGGAACCCTCGTGGTGCGAGTGGAGGGCCAGGGATCCGCTCATGGTCGAATGGATCGATCGGATGCTGCGGAGGCGCCTCACGAGATCCGCCGGCGAGACGGCCCCGTCCAGTCCGAGGCTGCTCGGGTCCGAGGGCAAACGCCGTTGCGAGTGAGAGCAAGAATGCGAGCAGGAATGCGAGCAGGAATGCTTGTGGGACTCGCACGCCGACGCTTCCTCTGGCGGTCCGGTCTTCTCGTTCGTGCCCTGTTGGGTTCTCTTCCCGTCCTTTTTCTTGGGTGTCTTTTTCTTTTTCTTCTTTTCCTTCTTCTTCTTCTTGCTCTTGTTCTTGGTTTCGTGATCGTCCCTGTCCTTCTCTTTGTCCCTGTCCTTGTCGTGAAAGACCAATCCGTGGGGATCCGACACCACAAAGGTCGGCTGCTGATTCGGGACCCGGGCATCCTGAGGCAATTCGGCAGTGGACGAAGAAGAACAGGAGGAGGAGCACGACACACCCTCGTTCTCGGAGATCCTTGGCTTGTTTTCTTCCGTCTTCTTCTCCCTCTTCTTTTTCCTCTTGTCCTTGTCCTTGTCCTTGTCCTTCGTCGGCGTCTTCTTCTTCTCCTTCTTGTCGTTGTCGTTGTCTACATTGCCATTGCAAATGCCCCTGTCCTCGTCCTTGCCTTCCTGGTGATGTTTCGCTTGCTTCTCCCTCCGTTTCTTCATGCAGGACAGCCTCTTGGTTTCGCTTCCGAGCGCGGACATGACGGACGAAAACGACGACCGCCTCCTCGCTTTCTGGTGCGTCTGCGCGTCGTTGGGAAGGCCGACGCTGCCATTGCCATTGCCATTGCCATTGCCATTGCCATTGTTATTGGCTGTGCTCGCCCTGGTCTTGGTCGGATCGAAGAGAATGTCTCCGGCAACAAAGTACGACGACGCCACCGCCACCGGGCGCGACGCCTTCTTCTTGGCCTTGCTTGCTTTTCGCTGCATGCTGCCGTAGCGCTTGCCGGTGTCCTTGTCCTTGACCTTGTCCTTCTGGTGGTGGGTGGTGTTCTTGCCGTTCCCTTCGAGCTTCTTCCATTCGGTGAGAGCAACCGCTGTGACAGCGATCGTGAACGACGTGATCATKGTGCGTTGTGTTGTATTGTTTTGTGTTTCGTTTTTCGATTCAAAGCCAGATAAAGAACAAGAGTCCGAGAGAATAAACCAAAGCCAAGCACGCAGAGTGAGTGTTTGAGTCAATGAGTGAGTGAGGGCAACACAACACAATCCGTACATTGCTGCTCGTGCTCGCAGAGAAGCAAGGTAACTTACCACCGACTGTTCCTCCTGTCTGCTTGTCTGTTTGCTTCCTAAAACTCCCCACGACCTAGAGTTCTTGGTTCATCCTGATGTGACGGAATTGGATGCGATGCGATGCGATGCGATGGGATGCGATGTGTCTTGCACGAACAGGACGACCCAAACCCAATCGGTACGGTGCAATGCGATACCGTACGACCGGCGCGGCTGTGGATGATGCGATGGTCGTGTTGGATCGTGCCGTGCCGTGGCGGAGGGTTTCTTGGTTTGTTGTCGCCGGTTGGACCGTACGGTGCGTATTTAACCTGTGATGGAGGATAGGGCTCGATTTCTTTCGTGGTGTTGCTGGCTGGTTACGGTGCTGTGGTGTGCTGTATTGTACTACCGACCCATAATACACAGAAGCACTGCAGCGTCGAACGAACGATTGTTGGAGGCGGTGACGAGTCGAGACGTCACGCGGGATTCTTGTTGCTTCCATAAAAGAGGATCGCAAACGGGTCACGGTTTTTGTTTTGTTTGGCTCCGGAACCAGTACACATTTGTACGAACCCGCTACGATACTATCTAGCCGTTCGTTGGAGCAGTCTCCGGCAAAACTACGAGTTATTACTTGTCCGCAACGGAAGTGCTGCGATCGACAATCCCGTGTCTTTCTGGTTCGATTCATCCATCGACATGTTAACGGTCATCGAGGAACGGGTGGAAGCCTTATTGAGAGATTTTAAAATGACCACCGATTCTTGGTGGAACAATTGCTCGGTTGACGCTTCTACCGCACGACCAAGACTTCTTGCGGGCACCTTTGGTCCAACACAGTCGGTTCGCTAATTCTCGGGCATATGATTGGCTTCTGCAAAGAACCAAACTAACAAAAGCTGTTCTTCTTATTCTTCTTGTTTGCGTCCTACGTACCCATCATTCGATCTGCAAGTGCAGGGCTCGCCAAATAACGGAACGGCAGTTGGATCCGCAATCGACCAAAATACTTCCAAAAACAGTAAAGTACCGGACGGCAGGGGTCTTAATTATGACCTGCCGGACGGTAGGATGCATGGTCCGTTGGTGGAACGAACGGACACACTTCCTGTGCCCCCCTCAAGGTGCCAAACTCGTTGTAATTGCCAACATCTTGCGTGTCCCATCGAACTAAAAGCACTCCCACCGACCCGGACGTACGTACTTCTATTACGAAGTATTACTGCGTACGAAGAACTTCTAGGAAGTACGAGTAATCTGCTTGAAGTAATAACCAATAGTAGTACCGTACCGTACGTCCCACGTCAACCTCCCGGTTGCCGTTCGTCATCGAACTTCCAATACAGTAGTACGATATGGTTTGTATATATGTACCATACCATACCATACATACAGTATGGAATGCTTATTCAAATCTTCCGTTACATACGAGTACCACCGTACTGCTCTATCTTACATACCGTATGATACCATGACGTATGAAGAAGTATGAATATCAATTACAGTAGTAGTTAGTAATACGAAGTACGAAGTACGTACCGGTACCTGGTACTTCTACTACTCAAGATGATTCCTCACGTCAAGAAAACAGAAAACAACAAAAGAACCCATTCTTCCAAAAACTATCAAAACAATACGATCTGGAGCACGAACTCAAAGCAACCCACGAGGACAACCGATGGAAGGGACACCGGAACAATCGGTCGCCGGGGACGATCCTCGCTGCCCGGGAGCAGCCGTCGCCTCGAGTGCCAAATCCCACGGCAGAAGGGAACCGAAGGATGGCACGACAACGACAAAAACAAGGACAACGGGAACCACAACGGGTGCGGTTGCCCGTGGGGGGAACGAGCCGGGTGAAACACGGCAGCAGCAGCAGCAAAGCCACCAAGCGAGCAGCAGCCAAAGAAGCCGCAGCACTGCACTGAACGGACAGCTGCGCCTGCTGCTGCTGGTTCGATGCCTCCGGGCAGCCCATCTCGCCCAGCCGTTGCTGGTTCCCTATTACTCCCGAACGCTCGGCCTGGAACCGACCCGGGTGCTCTGGCTGGGATCCCTCTATTCTACCCGTGAGTCGAGTCGCGTCGCGTCGCATCGAGCGGAGCCGATCGATCGTTTGTTCCGGAAGCAACGACGGAATGGCCGTGCCCGCATCGGATCGGATCGGATCTAGCTCGAACACGAACGACTCGTTCCGTCGAAATTTCGTGGATTCGGGGTGTTCTGCAAGACAGCGTGGTCGCAAACTTCCTTGTTCACTCACTCACTCACGTACTCTCACTCGCTCGCTCTCCTGTTCTTGCGTTGCGGCTGCCCCGACAGTCGTCACCCTCGCGGAACTGCCGTCGGGGATCGCCTCCGATCGACTGGGCCGGAAGAAAACCCTGCACATTGCCTTTCTGGGGTTTTCGGGCTCGCTCTTGCTCACCGCGCTGGCCTCGCGGTTCGCGGGAGGGCGGTGGCAAACGACCGCGGGTGAAGGTGCAACAGCGACCGCGACCGGGGTGCTGGCCTGCCTGGGGCTGGCCCAGTGCTCCAAGGCGGTGGGGTCGAGCATGTACTCGGGGACGGACTCGGCCTTCCTGTACGAGATGCTCGAGCACCACCACCGGTGCGACGAACGAGCCAGCAACAGCGAAGGCAACAACAAAAGCAACAGCGAAAGCAAAACCAGGGCGCTCCTCCTGGCCATCGAGTCGCGCAGCGTGGTGTACACCACCGCGACCGAAGCCTGCGCGGCGGCGCTGGGGGGATGGCTGTGTTCGTCATCGTCATCGTCCTATTCCTCCGGCACCGGGAGTGCAGGGGACCACCGCGGGAACAAAGGGCTGGAGCTGGAAGCGGTGGTGGCCCTTTCGGCGGTGCCCTTTCTGGTGGGTGCCTTTGTGACCCTGTGGGGCCTCGACGAGCCCATCAAGGAGCCCTCCTCCTTTGGTGGTTGTGCTCGTGCTCGTGCTTGTGCTTCGGCACACGGCACAAGCATCGAAACCGACAGACGCAAACCCCGCAGCGAAGCGGAACCAGCGAGGACCCGTCCGGAAACTCGTGCGAGCCACCAGCGGAGGGACCTTGCCGATGGAAGCGCGAGGAGGACGTCCTACCTCACGCTTCCCTCCGTGGAATCGGTGGGGTGGCGGCTCTTTGGTTTCTTCCGGAAGGGAGAGAAGGATCCACGGCGGACGAACCGAGAGCAGCACCGGAGCGTGATTCTCCTGCTCTCCGAATACGTCCCGGAGCGCCTGTGGACCCTTTTCGGGGTCGGGGTGGCCCTCAACTGCGGGACCTATCTGGCTGCCACGGCCATGAACCCATTGCTGTGGGAAACGGTGGGGATACCGGTAGGCCACTTTGGGGCCCTCCACGGGCTCTGTGGGGCCACCGCGGCGTTCGGGGCATTCCTGGCGCCGACTCTACGAAAACACCTAGTATCGAACAACGGCAACGGATCCCGTCACAAAAACGCCAACGCCAACAACCAGACGAAATCGAACGGGACGGAAGCATTGCTCTTTCTCATGCTCGGATCCTCGGCCGCTGGATACGGGCTCTTGGCGCTGTCGACGGGTCTGCATCGCCGGAGAGCCGGAGAGGCAGCAGCAACGACCGAAACGGTGCCCTCCTCCCATTCGGTGTCGGCCATTGGCTGTGCGATAGCGGCGGCTCTGTTGCTGAGTTTGGTGCGCGGCCTCGCTTGGCCTGTATTGGGATCGGCCATCAACGCCTCTGTCGAGCGGAACAGATCGAGGGCCACCACGCTGTCTTTGTTCTCGGGTGCGGTGAAAATCGGAATGTGCGTGCAACACAAGAATGGACGTTATAGACACAACAACATTCCATCGAAACACCTTGCTTGCCTTGCCGCTGCAGCGTTTCGATCCCATGTTCTAGCCACTGCCGATGGTTGCCTTCCTTCCTTCCTTTTTTCTCATTTTCTTTGCGTGTCGCTTGTTTCTCTCCAATTTTTTGGCCAAAAGGGTGATGACGGGAATGGTAATGGGGGTCTTGTTCAAGGAATCATCGACACTGGATGACCCAACGATCAACTCCGTAGAAAAAGGACTGTTGCACGGAAGCTTGTTGTGTGGAACAGCACTTCTTTCCGTTGCTTTTTGGTTGGCCGGTTACGGGTTGTCAGCCCCATGTGATGAAGAGACGAAAAATGACACTCCAAAGCTTAAATCATGTTGATAGAGCTCCGCCGGCTGCAGTTTCTTACCATACTTCGTTGCATTTCGGATCTTCTCTCCGTGCTCTTTTCGAGGTAGTTTATGACGGTCTGGACTGGGGCAGATGAACGAGCTCGTGTCTTCTCGGATGAAATACCGGATCTCTGATGCCACAGAGGCAGTATTCGCTTTTTGGGGAGCGGCAAATTATAGAATGCACGTGAAATAAAATCAGAGCTGGAAAAGATCTAATGAATCTCAGTTTTCAAAGCCCTCTTCCTCTGCTGGCAGTTTTACATTATCATGACAAATACTATACTATTGTAGGTGTAATGCAGATGGATATCGTTTCCATTCCGCTGGGTTTAGAGTTGCTATTGCTATATCTGATCCTGCACCGAGCTCCATTGTTGTGTTTCTCTGTGGTCTTCCCGTTCGTCTTCGGAATCTCCGTCGAAAATGAAGTCAGAATATGCCGATGATGCATTGGTGCCATCGAAAATATTGAAACTAAACTTCCTGCTCACTCTATCGCTACCGGACCTGTTTCTGCTTTTGGTGCTAGAATTCCTCCGTCTCGTCGATGCATTTGTTGGATCCGTATTCGTGGTTTTCGTTCCTGCTGCTACTAATGATAAGTGATTGCTTTGGTTATTGTCGTTGGTGCTGTTGTGCTCTGTTTCCGTTTCGGGGCAAAAACTGAAAATGTTGGCACCGCTCTCTCCTGAATTCATTCTTACTCCATCGCTCAAGGATGGGTCCAATTCGTCGGCGCTGTCATTGTTATTTTCTCTGCCGTCGCCGTCCTCCTCGCCACCTCGGTATTTTTGAACAGATTCAGTTTTAGGGTTGGAGAAGTATAAATACATTATCACGGTCCATAGCCCACAAAGAGTAGCCATCACGTTCGAAAAAAGGGTTAGATTTGTTGCCAATTCGGTGGTGAGGAACTGAAACCAATCCAACGTGTGTACAACGGCAGAAGGAATCACTCCCGCGTATATAACCAACAGATAATACAGTGACTGCTGAGCCACTTCACAGGAAAGAATGAGAATCGAGTCCTGTCGCTTTTTCACCTTGAGATATAAAGTGATCATGACTGCGGTTGGGAATAGCAACATGATGAACAGTGGAATGTCCCACAGCAATTCCACCAATTGGATGGTCTGATACGTCTGTCCTCCCCGATCGCAGGGAACAATTGCCTCGTTTGTTGCCCGGGGGCTACCCCCGCAACCAATGGGGTCGCCCTCCACAAAGCAGTAACCAAATCCGGTGTTATTGAACAATTGTTGCGACGTTATGTATAGGGCTGTCGCCAAGGGATACAGATGTACCAAGACGTGTATATATGTTTCCATCCCATTTTGAAAGGCCGACTTGTCAAAATTTTTTAGGGTTCCCACATATGAATAAACGGAAAAGCTGCAGTAGTACGAAAATGCCGTCATAAGCGAAACGTAGATGAGGAAGCCCTGGACTGTGCAAGTGGTGACGGTTCCGTGGTTGCCTACTGCGTTTGTGCTTCCTTTTGGTACTGCTGCCGTTCCGACGACGTTGCAAGCACCAAAAATCATGAGATGAACTCCCATCCCTGGAATTCACGCGTCAACCACGAAATGCATCCCAAATTGCAATAATTTGTTAGATTTGCTAATGGCTGAATCATGGTGAATCAATGCAAAATCTACCAATCGCTGCTACGTCGTATGAAATGGAAAATACTTACCAAGAATCAGTCGGTGAAAAACCTTTCGGCGACGTTTCAACGCTCTCCTCACCACAACGAGAGAACTGACTAGTGAAATGACGCCGGTGATACGGGTGGTCCACATTCCGGCAATGAGTTGGTGATGGGTAAATTCGATTGGCGGAACGGCTTCGGCTTCTTGCGGTTCCGCCATTTCGTTAGTCTCCGACGAATCCGCCATCCGCCGCATTCCGAATTCAAAGAGGAACAAAGGCGTGCGCGATGAACCACCGTAGTAATTTTCGGGCAAAGGTAAATCATGACCCTCCATGTTTGTTTTGCCCTGAGATTGCTTCTTTCACGGGAGGAAATGACTGAGTGACCAAAGATTGGCTTCTATCTTTTTTCTCTTGTTCGATCGATCGAGAGTCGCCGAAGGAATAATAAGAACCCCGATTTTCTTAGAACTAGACTGCAGGATTTGACCGATAGTATTGCGATGGAATTGGGTCTCAAGAGCGAAACAAAGGGGAGTATTAAATGATGAATTTGAAGGCGTGACAACCGCAAAGACAATATCCATTTTTCAGGATAGGAAACAAAGCATACCGCTTCTCTTTGTTTTAAAGTACGAACCTTCCTTACTGTAACTATCGCGAATACAAAGTATTATGCCCATCGTTTGCAATAAGGATGAGACGTATAAAATTGGCACGACAACAGAAGAATGTCTCGAAAGCCTGAACATGACCGTGCTGAATCTACGAACGTCGGAATCAGCGTCCAATACAGTAGTTCGAGAAGTCTTAAAATGTCATCACACTGTTAACTGAATAAAATTATAAAGAATGAGAATTCTCTTAAACTACTCTTTTTAGGGTATTCAA